ATATAAACCAGTCATATATCCATACTCATGTATCCGGGCAGTATCTAAATGTCAAAATTCACGGATACTGCTCGAACATTCGCTACGAACGTCTAACTAAATTCGCAACTACCACCGCATATCATATACCTGGGTGTTCGAGATGAAAAAAGAAGAAACAGTAAAAATAAATGTGGAAGAGGAAGAATATACATAAAGGGAAAAGAAATAAGAACACCTGAGTATCCGGGTATTCGAGGTACTTGAACACGGGTGATTCATAAGGCTGAAAGGCGCGTGAAATCTTTTCCGGAGCACTTTTCCAAGATTCAATTCTACTATGTGGGAAATAATCATGCTACACGGGAAAAACAATTCTGTTGGTGCAACCGAATTTTCGGTTGCTCAGGGATCAGACGGAAACTCGGCTGTAGGAAGAGAAAAGTTCCTTTATGAGGCTTCTGTATAGTCAGTTGTTCTCAGTTGCTTCAACCAAGTTCTAATATCGCTGAATGTTCAGACGAATATTTCCGGTTGCGACAACAGAAATATTAGTTTTTAAAACAGAGATATCTGACCACCTAATTTTCAGTTGATTCCTATTCGCTTGCACCAACTGAGATTTTTTTTGCGCGTAGCCACACGCTTGACGAATTAATCCCGTGACGTTGCGGCAGTCGAAGAAGCACGCAAGCCGAAAGTGTGCAGAAGTACTCAAAAAACGTAGCGAAACGCACCGGTCGCGAGAGACCTATTTTGAGGGAGAAGCAACAGTGAGCCAGCGGCCGTGAGCTTTGACCCGGTGACCCGGAGTGCATGGGTTGCGAGGAACCTGACGAGGGAGGGCAGGGGGTGGTCTTTCTCCTCTCCATGCAGGATGGAATCGATACCTGCCTCTCCTACCAGCCCAACCAGCCGCCCCTACCGGTGGTGTCCGCCGCCCTTCGCTGCTCACCTTCTCGTTCGAGCAGACGGCAGGTCGGCCGACCAGCCGGCCGTTGGGGGACTACAGAAAGTCGAGGAAATAAAAGAATCGCGCGCGGCAGCGCGCGCCACTCACCATCACGGCGTACCGGCCGACAGCCGCGGCAACCCTGTCTAGCTGGAAACCGACTCACGTCCACGTCGTGACACCACCATTGGGAAAGTCTTTCCGGACTGACCGATGATTTGGATGATCCCCCGTGAAGAGTCCTCGCAAAGAATTGTACATTATCGGCAAACACGTTGAATCATCCCTGCTAGCTCCCGTATGCCAAATAGAGACAAATGAATCCAGAATCGCGTCGAGCTCGGTGAAAACGAATGAATAACGAGAGTAAGGACGATCAATCTGCATCCCCAGATCCCGGGGCGATCGCGTTTGACATCCATTCGCTTGCTAATCAACGGTTCTCCTTCTCCGTCGAATTCACAGATTTTACTTCGCGCGGCCGTTGTCGTGTGCGCGAGTGAATTTCGACGACGCTATGAAGGGAGACCCCGAAGTAGTATTTATCACCGTCAAGGCATGCGCTATATCAAGCTACGGAGGTTCGAGCAATCGTTATTCCGCGAAGCCACCTCTTTGGGACCGTGCTGCGCTCGTCTCACGCGCAGACCATGCGTAATAATTAATTAATACCCCTCGTCATCCGGCGATCGATCCAACTGGCAGCTCTACGCACGCAACGGCGCATGTAAGAAAACCCATTGACCGAATTGATTTCGTTCCGGTGCGTTGGCAGCCGCGTCGTGCAGAATGGAAATGAAATGCAAATATTAACACCGTCGGCCAGCGGACGGCGATACGCCCATCTCAGTCGTTTCAGCGAGAAAACGTGACCCTGCCCCGTGTTCGAAAGTGCTTGCATTTAATTGATTTCTAAATCAAAGCGAGACTGGATAAACTATAGCGCGACTCGATATCCCTACGCGAAATGGGTAATCACGATGTTGATGAGAAAGAATATAAATCGATACGATTACTTGGAAATGAAGTTTAGCAGAATTTAACTCAATTATTCGTTACTGCGGGCGTGATTTTGTAATTGGTAATATGACTAGTAAAATGTTGTGGATTGTCAGTTCTGAGTACTCAAAATATTCAAAATATTCGAAATATTCAAAATACCATGACATTTTAGATATTTTATCCGGGTAACTCTCGAGTATTATCTGGGGATATCGAGTACCATCTGAATATTTCGGATACTAATTGAGAGTACATCGGGTATTATCCAAATATCTCGAGTACTATCCGAGTATTTTGGTTATTATATCTCGAGTATCATCTGGATATGTTGAACTGGGTGTTTCGAATGTTATCTGAGTATTTCGAGTATTATTCGAGTATTATCTGGGTATCCGGTTATCTAACTGCTTCGGTTATTATTCGAATATTTCGTGTACTATCCGGATATTTCTTGGAAATCTAGGATATTACCTGACATCTCTTACAATAGAGACTTCTACAACTAACATACATCGCAGACTTTGAATACGTTGAAGATGACTCTGCCCATCCTGCTATAATGAATTCTTTTATTAAAATACGAAATATGTGTGTGTGTGTGTGTGTGTAAATTGCATGTTCTTTATGTCGCCATTGATTCTGCTTGCTGCGCGCAACGGGCTTTTAATCACCCTATCCCTCTTCTTAATATTCTTAGAAGCTTCAGCTTCAAAGAGCCGAGAAACAAGAGAGATGAGCGTAATAAGAAATTCATCTTAGAAAAGATTGGGAAGATATGACAAATTGCATTGAGGATATTGACTTTTCCTCATGCTCCACGTGTGCGAAATGACACCTTAGTTAGGCAGCAACATCTGCTTGAAATGGCGTTGTGAGTAACCTAAATCGATCCTCGATTTTACTGCAGCTGCCGCCTCGATCGTTCGGCGACAGTTTTGACAAACACTATATTTACGAGCAGTAATATCGTGCGCATTTTACATCATGGCCAATTTGCAAAGGAAGTACATCAAGTTGGCATGCCGATATTAAAATTTGCAAATCTTTCTGTGATGTGATGGAATCTTTCATTTTCTCGAAAAAGAGCCCTATAACTCTGATCAATAACTTCGATGTCGAAGTGCAACGTCACACACCCAATTTCAAATAAGCTTGAGAAATTTGAAGCGATTTTCTTTTTTATTTTCGCCTATTTCTCCTATTATGAAAATGCGTCGCGCTTGATACTTTATACTCGCTGAATCGACGAAGCGAGTTCGAAGGACAATGTTCCCTAACTTTATGATCGATTGAATGTGATATAAATAAGCGTGGCGCGTCGGATCGATGAAAATTCTTTCGCGTTCTATCGGGTAACGGGGAATCGCGAAAATATTCGCATACATATTCCGCCCGTCACACTTTCCTCTAAACTAGGCTAGGCTGGGAGATGTGTATGTATTAGGCACGCCGTACGTGCGCGCGCGAGCGAGCGCGATGTATAACAGCCACAAGAAACTGCACTGATCGGAATCGCATCGCCGGCGGGCGTATCTCCGCCTCGGAGAGAGATTGGAGGGGGAGAGAGATATTTTCACTTCAGACACTCGGACGTTTAGGAACATCCTTGGTCAAGGAATTCCGAGTGAATACAAAGTAGGGAAGCGTGCTGAATATGCCCGAGCGCCGTAGAGGGAGGACGACAGTGAGGAGGGAAAGAGGTTTCCAGGCTGCCTGGAGCCCGTTACTTCCGGTCGACGGACATCTATCGTTGACGATACATTGGTCCGCGTCTCTGGGTCAATAGTATGTGCTCGACGAGCTCGAGTTCGATCGACAATCCAACGGGGGTTTTCTGATCCCGCCGCTCCTTTGACCCTTTAAACTCTGCGCCCGTGATTGGTGCAACAATTAATCAATAGCCACGCAACACGCACGCGATACTAACAGTCGATGCGCGGCGGTCAATGTACAATTGTATTATTATTAATACTGTTATCATTATTGAATCGCGGTGTTATTTATTATTCATCCCGCAAAAGACTGTCAGTCTGGTAAACATAACGCTAACGGGGTGGAGGAGGAGGAGGGAGAGGAGGGCGAAACTTTTGATCAATATAATCGGCGAGGCCGATTAATCACGAGATAAACAGCGGCGGAGGCGGCACGCCTGTGGTCGTTCTCAAAAAATTCTATTTACCCGATGATTAAGAGCTCATTTCTGGTCAGCGCGCGCGCGTTCTTGCGTCACCGATTGTAAAATTGGATTTTAATAGCTTCCGGCACGAGAGCTCTTTTCCATCAGGCACAATGGTTATTACAGCATTATCCAGAGCTCGACAAGTTTCAGGTGAACTGGGCCGGGCTGGGGCTCGCGGAATAGTGTATCGATTTCAACCCTTATCCCTTTTATCCATTATTTTCTTTATCTTCGTCATGCATCCCGCGCGCCCACCGCCCGGAGTCATGGTCGGTTTACGTTCAAATTAAAAGTCCTCCTTTTATAATTCGCAAGCTTAAATCCCGTTCTCATCGGATGGTCATCATCGCGTCTCGCGCGGCCATCAAGTAGATCACCGTTCTTTCACAGATTGCTACAGATTGCTACAGATTGTTGGCTCCTAAACTTGGAAGATTCACGTGGAGGACACCCAACTGTCTGCCACTGAACTGTCGCAACTGTTGCGCGTTCTCTCGCATTGCAAAGGTTCGCTTTTGAATATTGATTTGTTTATGCAGATGTACGTTTCGCGTCACCAAACTCGTCACCGACCTCATGGTTGTCATCGCGCTGGTTTGATTTATGATTTCCCGATCTTGCAAAATAGCGACACCTCGGCTGGATCAAGGCGGACATTGCGACGTTAGAAGTGTCGCGCATTGCGGTTGAACGCAACGCCTGCTTTGGCAGGGTGGTTTATCGATTCCGTCCCTTTTCCTCTTCACTCCCTACCCTTTGCCCGCTTTGTACACGCTTCGCACATAACCTGGAGTTACGGGATCGCTGACGTACTCGTTACTGAAATTTCGCACGTCAACCCCGGCTGCTCGTCGTTTCCGAGAGCACAACGATCGGAATTTGTTTCAATCGCTGCAATCATTTCGAAAATGCGTATATCGTCATATATGTAGTACAGTGATGAAAAATACTTCCTCATAGCGAACTATCCATAGCGTTCGTAGTTGGAGATACATTTGAGTCTGTGTTTCGGTCTGTTTTTCTTCAAAAGATTTCCCCTCCAAAATTATAAGGTCAACTATAAGTTGAAACGTGAAAATGTCCGTGTATCGCTATTGTGGTATCAATGCCACGAGATTCGGCTTCGAAAGCTGAGCAAGAACGCGAGAGATGTTCGTATCGCATAATATGCGCGAAAGACAGGAAATATCTACGGGATATTTACGGGAAATATCTGAGAGTTTTCGAGATATTTATAAACCGTTAAAGGTCGGACGTTATCGCATTCCGCGATGTTAAGCGAAGTCGCTTTCGCGAGACGACGGAATCGCGGAGCCACGCAAATCCATCTACCGATTTCACCCCTACTCTCTTCTCTCTATCCACCCATCCATCTTTCGCTCTATTTGAATCTTAGTGTTCAAATGATTCGGCATACATCGTCAGTCGCTGGGAGCTTTTAGCAAAGATCATAATCCGCGAGGCAGCGGCAAAATCGGCGGAACGGTCTGGCATTCAACAGGCCTCGAACCAGTGACCTAAATCCTCGATGGTTCGCGATGAACGCTTTTCTGGGTTCGTATTATCGGTCGGCGCGTCCTCAACTAGTATTCTTTCCGGCTCTTTTCCCCGTTTCGGCACACGATATCATACATTTTCAAGTTTGCAAAGTGACGGGTGGATGGTACCACGTACAAATGCATAAGTATTGATCGTGAGACTGTCCAAGCGGTACATTCTCGTGAAAATTTCTAGACAGATTACGGTCCCTGGTCGCGCCTCGACCATTTTCTCTTTCTTCCTGAGTTTGAACCCAGGTCTGTCGTGTATTACTCGGGTAATAAATCTCGAGTGCCTGCTGGACGTTTGGCTACGGTAATGTCCGGGTCATATTGACAGCACTAGTTTGTATACTAGTTTGTATACCGTGAAATTTGCATGTACAATGTGTGCTGGGTGAAAATTGTTGCTTTTGTTTACACACGTCTTACATTCGGCGGGGCAGTATGTATTGTGATGTATTTGCATTGTTCCAAAACATCGTGCAAATAAATGACTCGCGTGCCGCGATTGCGAATTCGTCTCGGAACGGAGTTAACCCAAATCCATACATATCGTAACGGTGTTTTCGAGGGGACGAATTATCGGACGACCCATTTTCACCCAATGTCGCGCCAGCCCTTTTGACCGACGTGGAAACGATAACGCTCGCACGCTCGCTCGCTCGCCGAGCGTCAAACAGGAAAAATAGCGTTGCCGGATGTCGATAAGACTTGTCGTTCCGCAAATCGAAGGAAAAACGTTCCGTTCCACTGCGCGCTATTTGCGCGTCGACGTGCGGACTCTTGCGAACATTTAGCAGACATCTATTCGCTTCAACGCGCCTAGCTTTCGCATCTGGCTCGACTTTTCGGACATCGTTATGATGTCTGCAGAGATTGCGCTCGTGGAAGTTAAATGCAGCGTAAATTTGCCTTTTATGATATTATCTTCTCACCGTGGCAGCCCCGGTGATGTCTTTCAGTATCTTTTTTCTCGTGAAAACTTTACACCTTTGGGAAATACCACCGTCATGCTTATACAGGGTGTCTCACATTCTCCTCCGAGCATTTTGTGGGGACGTAGAATGGGTTGATGTGAACATAAAAGTCCTATATCGTTTTGCGATATTCGCAATAATTATCGAGATATTAATTGTAGAAAATTTGTGAATGATCATGCAGGATGTAGTAAATGAGTTATAATAGTTGTGTGCTTATACTTTAGATCAAATTGAACAAAAAAGTCCCCTATCATTTTGCAAATAATCACATAGATTTTTAATTATTAATTAAAGAAGATGAGTGCGTTATCACGCAAAATCATGCAATAATCTTCTTTAATTAATAATGAAAAATCTATATGATTATTTGGAAAATGGTAGAGGACTTTTTTGTTCAATTTGACCTAAAGTATAAGTACACGACGGCAGTTGTTGTACTACAACTCATTTACCATATTCTGCATGATCATTTACAAGTTTTCTACAATTAATATCTCGATAACACC